AAGGTCTCCCTGGAGCCTTCTCTTCTCCAGGCTGAACAACCCCAACTCTCTTGGCTTTTCTTTATGGGAGAGGTGTTCCATCCCTCTGATCGTTTTTGTGGCCCATCTCTGGACCTGCTGCAACAGGTCCATGTCTTTCCTGTGCTGAGGGAAGGCAGGCAGGGTCTCACCAGAGCAAAGCAGAACTTAAGCAGTCTGGCAGTGTGCTCTGTAGATTTTCTCAAAGGGATGCACAGTCTTCCAAAAGAGACCATTACAATATCTCATTCGACTCTGCCTCCTAACTGAGAGGAGATGGGTTTGGGAAGGAAGCAAAAGTGAGAATTTAAAAAAAATTTTGGATCTTTCTTTACTTGAATCTTGAAGCCTAACTTCACTACAAATTCCCAGTTCTGTCTGACATCTCAGGAAGTTCTGTCTGGAACTTCAAGAAAGCTGTAAGCCAGCACCAGTGGTCTGGGTTTTATGTGACTGCATTAGCAGGGTGATCATAGCGCTGAACGTGAAGGCAGTGATATAACTGTGCATCAGTAGAAAGTTTTGGGGGAAGAATATTTCCTATTTATCGGTGTGCAGTCTGCTACTCTTATGTTTGTTATTTAAAGCAGCTAGCAGTGGTGGCTTTTAACTTAAAATGTTGGACAGGGACAGTGATTTATTGGATAAAGAACAAAAATACCTGTAGTTTTATGTGAATCGCTATGCTAATAGCATCATTTTGGAGATAGAATTTGGCATGGTTTTGGATCTGAACTTGAACCTTGTGTAGCATCATTCGGTTGCTCTCCACTTCTGTTAACTTCAGATAATTTCAAGCTATTTAGCACAATTCTAAACATGATTAAGAAAGTGTAGAGTATATTACCTATGCTCCAGGAAGGTGGAAGAAGATGGTGTTATTTCTTCCTGCTTTCATTATATTTTCATTGTTAGTACGTAATTCACATTAGCAGAAGCTAACCTATCTTCAGTTTGTGAAAACTTGAATCATCTGTATTACTTTGAAATTTTGCAGTGAAATCAACAGTGAAAATTACTTCTATTTGAATACATGTTTTAAAGGTTGAAAGGATGATAAATACTTACAGAGGTATTACAGGATTTTAAGACATTCAAATATTAGGTGTGTAGGAGCTTCCTGAAACTGCAGTCTCACGCAAGAAGCGTATGTGTGAGAAAACAATTGTAGATCAATGCACTCCCCTAAAAAATAGGACCTATAAAGTAATCGGAAAACATGGTCTAGACTGATTTGAGGATGTTGGGAAGCATTTTAAAGATTCTTTTCCTTGGGTTGCCTGCAGTTTCTTAAATGCTGTTTGACATTAGCCATGTATCTTTTACATCTTCTTTTCTCTTTCTGTTTTGTCCTGGTTTCAGCTGGGATGTAGTTAACTGTCTTCCTAGTAGCTGGTACAGTGCTATGTTTTGAGTTCAGTATGTGAAGAATGTTGATAACACTGATGTTTTCAGTTGTTGCTCAGTAGTGTTTAGACTACAGTCAAGGATTTTTCAGCTTCTCATGCCCAGCCAGGGCACCTGACCCAAACTGGCCAACAGTGTATTCCATACCATGGGACGTCCCATCTAGTTTAGGAACTGGGAAGTGGGGGGGGGGGGATTCGCCGCTTGGGGACTGGCTGGGGGTCGGTCGGCGGGGGGGGAGCAATTGCCCTGCGCATCATTTGTACATTTCAATCTACTGTTGTCATTTTATTAGTGTAGTGTTATCATTATTAGTCTCTTCTTTTCTGTTCTATTAAATCGTTCTTATCTCAACCCAGGAGTTTTACTTCTTTTCCTGATTTTCTCCCCCATCCCACTGGATGGGGGGGAGTGAGTGAGCGGCTGCGTGGTGCTTAGTTGCTGGCTGGGGTTAAACCACGACATGTTTAAATGTTAAGAATTAGTTCAATTTGTAGGAAATTGTGTTTAAAATGTCTCTTAAAAATGGGTGCAAGTTTGGATGTTGGATATACTCGAGAGAGAGGGTTCTTGATTTTTGTTTTCTTGTACGGATTTGAATCTTTTGTGTGCTCCAGAGCAAGCAAAACAAAAACACACACACCCTTTAGAACTAAACAAACAACAACAACAAAAAAACCCACACAACTTGGGGGGCTATATATTTTCATTCTGGGTTTCAACAGCAACGCATTTTGGAGACATGGAGCTTTATTTTTAGTATCATTTAAAAAAGAGATAAAGTGAGGCACCGAGGAAAAAATCATTGGGACTACAGGTACGAGTTTTAATTAAACTTAGGAAAGCAAAAAATCTAAACTTAAAGCTGACCATTTTGTCTGACACTGTCCTTAACTGACCATGCTGATCTTACCGGATGCACTTTTCACTCCACTCTGTATTTCTTTGCTTTTGTGTATTTCAGTCCAGCCTCTTGTGTCACTGTAACATAGGGGATTTTTTTTTTTTTTTCTTTTGTGGTTTAATTGTATGAAAAAATTTTATGCTGTATTCTTGGAGCTGTGCAGATGGTTCCATGCCAAACATATTTGTTTACCGTGGTAATGTCTGAGTTGTAGTGTGCCAGCTAATAAAGGGATTTATTTAAGGAACAAGGTGAATGACTAAAACAGATGTGCCAGTTGGGTGAACCATTAAAAGAATCTTACTTCTCAGCTTTATGTAAAGGTTATTTTTAATGCATTTCTGAGAAATCAAGAGCGGTTGCAAGGGTGTTTTTGAGACAACTGAAAGCATCTTGTCTGTTTGCTTGGGAGTTCTTTTTATGTGGGCTTGAGACACATTAGTCTTTCATCTATCTTATTGAAGAATTTGCAAAGACAGCAGGTGAAAGTCCTGAATTTTGACATCTGATCAAGTATTATAATCTCATCATGGATTTTGTCCTGTTTATAAATTGTATGATTCTGTATTTCAGTTGTGGGGAAAGCTGTTTTAATATCTCTGTGATGTAAATAGAAACTTCCGTAATGTAGTACAAATATGTATCTTCATTCCCTGGAAATCCTGGGTCAACCTGCTGTAATAATACTAAAACCTTACACATCTTTTCTCACAGAAATATAAGGAACTCTGTTTTTGCTAGAAAATTAAGCATTCTGGCTGCTAAGCATTTTAACCAGGATTGATGTAGAATTGTGTGAGAGAGAAGCTAAAACCATGAATTAAATGCTGTTTGCCCAAGCACTTAGTCTGTTGTACATCATATCATCCAAGTGACTTCCAGAAACTCCACTGATTCTGCTGTTGTTGGTACATGTGACTGGAATGTCTCCTCTTAGAAGTTGACTTTTGTGAATTAGAGATTTGTAATCTTGTTTCTTAGGTGTTGATCAATTCATTTGGGAAGAATCCTGGAGACAGTGGTAATGCTAAAGAGAAGTTAAAAAAAAACACCAAAACAAAGAAAGCAAAAGCATTTTAATAACATTTTTTAAACTTGGCTTTAGCTTGGAGTGTACAAAATAATTTGTTAATTCTTGTGCTTAAGTATATGGTCTGTTTTGAACTATGCAAATGAGGGGCTACTTAAGACACACACTGTGCTAAACTTGACCACATACTAGTATGCCATTCTGAATAACAGTAGATTTTAGATAACTTGTTCCTGAAGCTGTGCTCAAGAAGATGAAACAGTGTAGTCTGTCTGTCTGTACCTATCTGTTGCTGTTGTTTGCCCCTTTCTTTATATTTGGCTCACCAGGTTTTAAGTCATGGACTTTATTTATTTCATGGCACTGGACAGAAGAAAATCTGTATTCTCTCACTTTTGACATGTGTGACCAAGTAATGCAAATAATTTACTGCCTCTTGTACGCTCATACTAGTGGCAGTATTTCTGGTTTAGAAATAGCCATTTACATATGTGAAGCCTCTCTGGTATTAGTGAAGGCAGAATTTGTTCCTTCATTAAGAATAATTGAAATAGTGGCTTTCTCATTTTAGGTTAGTTGTGTTTTTGTTTAATTCTAGTACTGAAAAAAATCCAGAGAGCACACAGAAGTCAGTGTTAGCATTTTCAGTGGGTTCCCATCCAGACAAATTTATCAAAGGCTGTCTGTTAGTAGGCTAGGCAATGATTGTAATCTGATCTGAGCTCATCTGAGCTTAAGTAAAAATGAAAAATGTGCCCCCTGATTAAGCATTGCAATTAAGGATTTTAGGGGTCTTGGTTTTGAGATGAAGCATCAATCTCCTAGCAGTATGTTTGGTATTAAATTGTAGAGCCATTGCAAAGCAATTAGATCACCTTTCTTGGGATTTCAGGGCTCTATTCATCTTCTTTATTTAAAAACAAAGAAAAGGCTGCTGGAATTGTAGCTTCCTTGATTATTTGAGGTTTGGGCAGCATGTTAAAGCACTTAAAATACTAATCTGACAACACAGTAGTATTGGGGGGGCGGGGGGAGTGTCATGTCTCTAATTTGTGTCTGTGTACCAATACAGTAAGCACATGGCATTTCTTTCAGTTATTTTTTATGAGATACCTGCCCCATTAAGGTGAGGATGGCTGTATTTATTTAAGAAAAAGAAAAATTGACAGAAGGAGAAAGTTTTTGTAAAGACCTAGAGGTTCATAATACCTATCTCCTGTCAATTTCAACAAGAATAAGACAACTGAATCCCATAAAGTTAGCTCCTGCAAAGCTTTCTTGTTTAGCAGTTACTTCAGTTTGTCTTATTCCAAAGTTGATTTAAACCCTAACTTTGTTTAAGATTAAGAATGTCTCAACAGAGTTAAGATTTAAAACATTTAGCTGACCTGATCAGCCTTGACATTGAACTGACTGAAACTTGCATTTTACAAAACTTCCAAATGCTGCCTTCATTCTTGAAGGACCATGTTTTGAATGCAAGGAAATGCAATGTGACTGGATGTAAATTGAGTTAGACCTGGAAGAGGTTCCTTCTTTTCCTTTGCTGGAGAGATACTGAATTGTTTTTAACACGTATGCTGAAGGCTTTTGATCTTATGCTTGGTTAATCATTTGTTTTCTTTCCTTCCACCATTCCAGGCCATATACACCTATGAAAGGAGCCTTTTCCACTGTGTGGTTTGACAGGTATAAGATCTCTAATGACTGTCCAGAACACATTGAAAGTATTGATTCTATGTGCCAGAGACTTACAGACTTGATCAACGATGAGATTAAAAACGGCATTGCAAAGAATAGGATACTAATAGGTAAGAGAAACTTACTTTTAATGTGTTTATTTTAATGGTTTTTAATTGTTAAGGGATCATCTACTTGAATTTACTCCATCTTGAAAGCTTGTAAGCATGCCTTAAAACTGCTGAACAGCCTCTTCAGCAGCCAATCCTCAAGAATATTGAATCATTATTTAAACCTGTTATAACATGGGGAATGTGGCTAAATGTAAGCAGTGTCCTCAAAAATGTAACTTTAAACTGTTTTTATTGTAAATGGTAATTTGTAATAGTTATTTAAAATGCAGAGTGGGCAGTTATTTACTTCAAAAAGTACATATTTTTACTGTTTCCTTTTAGCCCTTTTTTAAGGATGGAAAAGTATGCTTTCTGAAAATGACTTGTATTTTGAAGAGTGGAGATGTAGCATATAAATAATCATGAGCTTTTCCTTACTGCTCTGATCATTTTGGGTCAAGTTAATTCATGGGGAAAAAATTTGCATGTTACACATCACTAAAGATTAACACTTGATAACAAGTGAAGTATTAGCTGTCATAGTTCATATGTGTCTATATTCCTGTACCTCCTAATTTCCACAAATTTCCAGTAACTTTTACAGTACTGCTGTGAAATAGATAGTGGGATATTGAGGCACAGGAGTTGAGGGCAATGGAGTAGCCTGTGTCGGAGAGGGAATGAGAATTCAGGAGTCCTTGGCTCCCTGTCCCATCTGTAGACCACAAACTATTTCAGGTTGGGGAAAAAACTCTTAGTGTGGGAACTTACAAATTTATGGCCAACTGAGTCATGCCGTCAAAATCCTGCGTGGCGGAGCCACTACCATTCAGCCTACGTGTTTTCTTGGTCCAGCCCCATGTTGCTCTTTGAAGGCCTCTGTTTACTTTCCCTTTCTGGCTCATCGCCCTGGCTGCAGAATGCATTGTTTTGGATAGTTGTCAGCACAGTCTCTTTGATCTGTCTTTCCTGTGTTATACCTGCTGGCTTGGAAACGGCTGAAGAAATGCAGGTGCTTTTCTGTAGAGTGAGCTGGGAGATGTTCTGTGTACAGATCCAACTTGCTACTAGGCTTTTCTCCTTTTTCTGTAGCCTTCAAAATTAGAACTGAGAGTTCTAATTAGTGAGGCTGCAGAGTATGAAAGTTCTTTTACAAGTCATAAGCAGAGTAAGGAAGTTGGTATGCACCAATTGTCTCAGCCTGTAGATTCTTTGGAAGTCCCCATCTCTGTGTGTTTGCATTCCTCATCTGTAAATCAGAAATAATTATACCTATTTTCTCACTCTTGAGAGCTGTGGTTTCAGGCTTCTAGAATAAGGCACGGTTTCCTTGCCTCTGTGACAGACACTACGTGCATACATCCTCACAGTTGAATCTAATATTAGTGCAAATAGCAAAATAAGGCAGCCCTGAATTAGCTCCATCCAAAGTGCAGAAGGGGACCCATGTGGATGCAGAAGAAATTTGCTAGTGGAAAATGAACCCGTGTCACTTGTGGCTGCACAAGATTAAGTGTTCTTCCCCAAGAACTTTGTGCCTTCTCTGCACTGGTTTTGATGATTAACCAGTGTGTGATACAGTGGAGAATGAAGCTTAGAGATTGTGTAAGGTTTCTGTGCATAAAGGTTAGGTGTATTATCAGTCTGAGTCAGTCTAATGTGACATTCTTAGTTGTTTTAGATGGGACTTGGTATAAATAATCGCCCATCTTCTAGCATTGTTTCTTACAGGAAATGAAGAATTCTTTAAAGGTACCTGGCAGCTTTATAAAATTTTTGATCAAAAGAAAATATGAGATCAAGGTTTGGTTATGAAGATGTAGTCAGTATGTCTACACCACACTGTAATGTCCACTAGAAAAGGAGAAATGAGTGGCCTGAAATTTTTCTGAGTTTGGGAAAGATTGGTGTACAGGAGATAATGGAAGATATGGTCACTTGCTTAGAACGTCAAAGAACTAAGTCTTGTCAGATCTTTTCAGACTTCTTTTTGAAAAAGTCAGGAATATCCATCTGGTACAAGAAGAAGAGGCTTGAGGTAACAGGTGGGGAGCAGACAGTGGATTTGTGACTGCTGGTACCGTAGAGTTGCAGGAGGCAGCCTTCTTGAGGTGAAGGGAAAAATAAGACAATTATAGCAGAGGAAACCATAGTGAAATTTTGCTATGAATATTTCCTCAGTGCATTCAGTGATGTTGAGTCATGTTGGAGATCCATAATGGGAATACTGGTACGTATCTTATTATGGAAAGTGGAGACAAAATAGTTGGGAGAAGAGACTGGAGGACTTGGGAGTATGAGGAGCGGTAGGGGCCTTTTCAGGTGGGTCACAGAAGCCAAGAGAGCAGAGCAGTTGCATGAAGAGGTAGTTACAGGGAATTAAATGGATGTTAAAGGGTTAAGGAGAACTGGGTTGTGGGACTGTCTGTTTTGTAATGAGTGGGAGTTTTAATGAGTGGAAAGAAAACAAAATGAGTATGAGGAAGGTAACAAGATTGAAGGTTATGGTTTTATATGGAATAGCGGACTAGAAATTACAGGCTGAGGATGAGTGTCAGATATTGTTAGATGAGGGCAAGCGAGGTGTTAGGCAAGCAGGAAGGTGGGTAGCTGCTGACAGCTCAGAGGTGTGGGATAAGAAGGCAAGATCTGAGGGAGCACTGTGCAAAGGAGAAGGAGTGGGAAGAGAGGGGAAGCAGGAGCAGGCTCTCAAGCAGTGGAAAATGAGAAGCCCAACACCTGGTGTTCTGGGGGATGATTCTCCTTCTGGAGCCATTCAGACTTTCCACAAGGCTCAAGATTGTGGGTACAGTAAGATCATTTGTTCTGAAAGAAATTATAGCCTGCGCTGTTTGTTTAGGTAGCACAGTTGGCTCTGAAATCCACAAGTGGCTGCTTGTAGGGCAGAACTCTAAAGCTGAGGATGGAGTCCAGGTTGTGCAATGCCACTCCTCTTTTTCTATATCAAGAAAAATATTGGTGCAGCCTTGTTTTCAATAGCTGCTCTATGAATCTAATTCTAAAGAATTAAATTACTTTATTTACTGGAGGTAAATGAAGTCTTATTATTAAAACCTCCATATCAATTTAGCATAACAACCAGCACGCAGTAGTACACGGCTCATCTACCCATTCCTATTTCCTGACAGTTTCATGAGTTCCTTTCCTATTAATACAGAAGTCTTTTGAAGGAAGTAAACCTTAATGAGCCAGGAGTCTATTTCCCCTGACCTTAGAGGAGGAAGGAAGGGAGACTGACTGCAATATATAATTATTCAAAGATAATTATATCATCCCCAGAATTTGATAATGGAAGTCACTCTTTAGCCAAACATTCTTCTTGAGTTACTCTTACTGGTCTTCCTGGCTAAAGCGCTGCTTACAAATAATCCTGCAAGTAGGTTTATATTGACTTTGGAGATAGAAGAGGATGATAAAATTAGTCAAATTCTGTCACTTGGAGCTTTGATAGTATCCCTTCTTAAAAACTGGATGTAGTCCTTCTTTATAAATGCCTGAATTCATTGCTAAATTAGCTAAACAAGCAAATAACCACAGTTTGAAATGTGGGACAATCATTTCTTTTTCTATTTAAAGCTGAGTTTTCAGGTGGTGGTGGTTTTGCTTTGTTTTGTTTTCTTGTGTTTGGGGTTTTGGGGTTTTGGGGGGGATTTTTTGGTTTGTTTTTCGTTTTTTGTTTTGTTGGAGTTTTTTTAACTGCTTCCATAGTGATAGTGCACTACAAAATACTCCACTTTGTTGAAATCTTTGACAATTTCCACCTATCTTATTCAAGAATATGTAAGAAGCTATTGAAAGAAATGGCCACTTCACATTTGGAGCTTTCCAGTAGTGCTCTCTTCAGTCAACTACACTTCAGTGAAAGGCAGTCTTTTTGTTCTCTTTTTTTGTTCTTAATTTAGCACTGCTTTCCTACTTTTACAGGTCACTTTTTGTGTAGTACAGAAATGCTGATCCAAGCTTGTTGGTCTCTGCCACCTGTAGTCGCTTGTGTAAGCAGCCAGTGAAAATAAACTTTCCATAACAGTCCTGTAGATTTGACTCTATGCCAAAAAACACATGCATGATTCCTGACCCCTTGTACTGTAACAATAACACAAGACACACAACCACTTTTTGTTTATTGCTAGACTTCTTACATAGCTACTGAACCATGGTGGAAGTAACATGAAAGCTCTGTGTTTCTTGTAAATATTAGCATTTCCATCTCTCTCAGTGTGTGTGAGAATGGGATGAGAAGGAAATATCTTGGCTTTGGCATTGCAGAGAAAGAGGATTCTGTAAATATGGGAAGATTAAAAAATCAACAATAAATCGTTAAAACGTTGGGCAAACTATTTCACCTACAGTCTTGGTATTTTATGTCTTTGGCTTCTAAGCCTTTTGCTGTCACTCATCCTATCTTGTATCTTCTGTCTTTATTAGGAAAATGTTGTCTTTCATTTAGAGTCACTTACTATCTTGCTCTCACAAAGTAAATTCATGGTTTTATATTGCTGTTTGTCACTGCAGTTCAAATGAGATTTATCTTTCTTTATCACCCATTATGTGGCTTTGTGGTTTATCTAAATGATGCCTGTGAGATGCTGGGCTCAAAGCAGTCCTGTTAGTCCATCTCCCCCATAATACCAGCAAACATTTCGTTAATTTTCAGTGCGTCAGTGTAGATTTGCATTGCATTTGTACTTGGGGACAAATGTTTGCTCCTCTTGTTTGTTTGCACCTGAACTGGCCATTTATGTATCTTTTGGATCTCTACTACTCTTATACTTCCTGATGCACAAGCAAGAGACATTAACAAATGAATGTTTCTGTTTCCTTCATAAATCATTCAGTAGGAGGTACAAATGCTAATAATTTTAACCAGAGAGTAGGATCCACCACTTGTCACTTTGTTTCCCAGCTCTTGAGGGTGGCCACATTAATGTATCTAAAAAAGAGGGTCTTTGAAAGGTGACACATTCTCAGTTTTGATCTGCATGGTGAATGACAGGCTT